ACCTCAGGGGGGTATCTGTAATTTAGCCAAACCTCGAGGGGTGTATATGTAATTTGCCCTAATTTTTAACTCACTTCTCTCTCTTACAAAAAAAGTCAAAAAGTAACTTTTAATGACCTTTTCAAAACATCCCTTATTATTTGATTTTTTAATTATAACACATTGGATTTTAAATTTTGAATCTTGTTTCAAATAAGAATAATTAAAGATATTATTGCTTAATTTCAAGGGTAAAGCCATCAATTTGATAAAATATAAATTAATTTGACAAAAATAAATGTCAAAAAAATATTTTTAAAATTTTTAAAATTATTTCTACCTACTAAAGATAAAATTATGTAAAATTGATAAATATTTTAGAAATTTATTTTTTTTTTCAAATTAATTTTTATTATGTGTTTAGATGATGATCATTTAATAGATAGTTGTTAGACTTTTAATGTATAATCGATATATTTAATACATTAAATGTTTTTAGTTTTAGATTTTTTGATTTAATAGATTAGTTTAATAATGATATCAAAGTTGTCGCTATATTTGAATTTTGAAAAAATATAAACTAATTTAATAAAAATAAAAACAATCATCGATTACATGATCATTATCAAAACATATAATAAAAATTAATTTGGTAAAAAAGAAATAAATAAATTTCTAAAAGATTTATCAATTTTACATAATTTTATCTTTAGTGGATAGAAATAATTTTTAAAAAATCAAAAATATTTTTTTGATATTTATTTTTGTCAAATTAGTTTATATTTTATCAAATTGACTACTTTGCTTTTGAAATTGAGTAGTTATATCTTTAATTGTCCTTATTTGAAATAAGATTTAAAATTCAGAATGAAATATGTCACTATTACAAAGTCAAAAATTAAAATGACATAATACTTAAACTATAATGACAATTAATATAATTCGTCATAATTTTTTATAAAAAATACCCAAAATACAATATTATAGAAAAATGTCCAAAATGCAATATCGTTGGTGGTGTTCTCTCTCTCTCCCTACATACATATTTTTTATGGGACCATGTTTCCTTTTTTTTTTTTTTATGTTTATATTTATTCCAAAAGAAAATTTTGGGGATGCAAATGGATAAAACTCAATAGAGAGCAAAAAAATTAAACTCCAAACATGATTAAAAAAACTTACTTAAAAATTGGTTTCAAATGAGCTTAATAATGGTTTGTTTTGGTGAGCGGGTAAAATATAACCTTTTGACTTTTAATTTATTTTATGTTACATTATATCTTTAATTTTTTTTTTGGCTATTCAAAAAAAAAAACTCTATTTTTTTTACATATTTTTTTTTAAAAAAAGTCAAAAAAAACAAACAAACAAGTATTTAATTAACTTCCCAAAACAAACCAATAAAATAATGGTTAGATAATTATATTAAATTTTAATCAAATCAAATAAAACATATACGTGGATTTATTTATCACTTTCTATAGAGACGACTCAAGGTTTTTTGAGGCTTAAGGTGAAATTCGATTTTTTTTTTAATTTTTTATATTGCATTTTGGTAATTTTTTTATTTATTATTTTTGACTGAGAATGAGAAAGGTATGTAAATGTAAATTGAGGCAAAGTTTGGCAACCCAAAAATAATTCATTTTTTTATCTTTTTTTCATCACATCACCTTTTTACTTTTCTGCACATCTTTTCATAAAAAGACAAAAAATACACTTATTTAGGTAATCCCAAACAACTCATGAATCTAACGAGTCTTTATGATTTGACAAAAAGCCTAAAATTATTGATGAAATGATATTCCTTTTTTATAATTTAAAATTTAACAATTTTTTTATTGATTCACAAAGAATTTATTTGGTACTTTTGTAATCTTTTAAATTTTAATTTGACTATTATTCCTTAGATTTGGTTAACGAGTGTCCTAAGAGCATTGATTAATAATGTTTAAATTGATTATACATTACATGTTACACACACTCTTATACATTATGTATAAATATTTCAAATTTCTTATCAAGTTTCGTTAGCCACTCATTAAGAAAACTCTCATATCTTTTATGTGTATACATATTACATGGAGTATATAATAAGTGAAACTTTGTTATTTATTTACATATTTCAAATTCCATACATATTGCTTACCCGTCAGCTTAATTTGATGAGAGTTGGTTTGGTAAAATATTTGAAAAATATTTTAATTGTTTTTTCAACATAAAATATTTAAAATATATATATTTTTAGATCTAATAATTAAAATAGGTTGGAAAAAAGTTTTTTTTTTCCCCTGTTTTATTAAAATAAAAAATATTTACTTATTTTTTAATTATTTAACTAATTTTTGTAATTTTACCAAGCAGGGCCTACCTAGCCTGTGGTGTGGGCCAGTAATTAAGACAGCTCCTATAAACAACCATAAATAAGTATTATGGTTTACTCCAATAGAAATAAGTGCTTCCAAATATTTTGTTAGATTAATCACAAATTAATCTGTTTCTTTTTTTAACACTATAATTTCAGATTAACGAAATCTATAAATTTAATACGTATCATAAATGTTGGATTATATCGTATTACACTTCTCTACAATTAAATAGACGTCTTATATAATTTATAACTGGGGAGTCGCATATTACTGAATCTAATTGTGAGACCCACTAAGGGTTATTTTAAAAAGTGGATTAAAAATCCCTTCTCAGCTTTTAACCCATTTCTCTTTCTCACAAAAAAATTAAAAAAAGTCAAAAAATAATTTTTAACCATTTTTTTAAAACATCTCTAACCCTCCCACAAAAATTAAATTGGATATCATAATTCAACGGAAGATAAACAAGACTCATTGGGAAATGATCCAACATATTTTATTTACATTTTATCTAAAACACAAATAGCAAAGAGAAAATTATAAATTAATTTTACTTGGTAATCTTACACTGATTGTGAATATGAGAGAATATAAAAAATTTATAAATAAATTAATAGCATAATAATGAAGAGGAAGAAGAAGTAGTCGAAACAATCACCATTACTACAGATTAGGTTTCGTTTGAAAATAGATTATTTTAGTAATTTTTTTGAATTTTTATAAAAAAATGTGAAAAAAAATAAAAAAAATAATGTGACAATTTATAGCGACTTTTTAACTAAAATATATAATTGACAAACGAGGTCTAAGAAATTTAAACGTAATATGTGTACATGTAACTTCATTTTCTTGTTCCTCTTGATTGTTTAAAAATAAAAATAAAAATTACCTCTGTAATTTTCCCCCCCTCCATTTTAGGAATATTTGGAGGGTTTAATTTTCGTTTAGATTTTCACCTTTCACATGATGTATATTTGAATTTAAATAATTATATATATATATCCTGTGAAAATTCAAACAAAAATTAAATTAAAAATGCAAAATACAATGTACTCATAATTTTTATTCATAAAAATATACTCAAAATTTGTAATATACACTACAGATTTAAATTTTGTATAATTAAGGGTATATCTAAAATAAATTTGGTCAACCTATTTTAAGGCCTAGTTTGGAAAGACTAAATAAGTACACTTTTTGACTTTTTTTGTATTATGTGTAGAAAAAGTAGAGAGGAGATGTTGATTAATGTGACCCAAAAAAGATAAAAAGATGAAATAAGTGCACTTTTTTCTTTGTAGCCAAACTTGACCTAAATTTTGAACAAGTCTTTTTTATGTATAAAAAAAAACTGTGATACAAAAAAACTCTCTAAAAGTTTTTTTTGGCCGACCAAGAGTAAGGGGTTGTTTAGAATGATCTAAATAAGTGTATTTTTTTTTGACTTTTTATGAAATATGAATTGGGTTTAGATTGGGTTTAAAGTGATGTGCTAGAGAGGTGATGTGACTTAAATAAGATGATATAATTTAAATAGTATAGTGACTTTTTGAATTTTTTCAAACATGCCAAACTAACCCTAAATTACAGTACTATCCCTGTGCTGAAATTGGTGTATTTGGTTAAGCCAAGTAAAAAGGGAAAATTAATAAATGTAAGTAAATGGCCACATTGGGTGTTTTTGGTCTTTTCAAATCCTCCAAAAATTACCTCTGTAATTTTCCCCCCCTCCATTTTAGGAATATTTGGAGGGTTTAATTTTCGTTTAGATTTTCACCTTTCACATGATGTATATTTGAATTTAAATAATTATATATATATATCCTGTGAAAATTCAAACAAAAATTAAATTAAAAATGCAAAATACAATGTACTCATAATTTTTATTCATAAAAATATACTCAAAATTTGTAATATACACTACAGATTTAAATTTTGTATAATTAAGGGTATATCTAAAATAAATTTGGTCAACCTATTTTAAGGCCTAGTTTGGAAAGACTAAATAAGTACACTTTTTGACTTTTTTTGTATTATGTGTAGAAAAAGTAGAGAGGAGATGTTGATTAATGTGACCCAAAAAAGATAAAAAGATGAAATAAGTGCACTTTTTTCTTTGTAGCCAAACTTGACCTAAATTTTGAACAAGTCTTTTTTATGTATAAAAAAAAACTGTGATACAAAAAAACTCTCTAAAAGTTTTTTTTGGCCGACCAAGAGTAAGGGGTTGTTTAGAATGATCTAAATAAGTGTAATATTTTTTGACTTTTTATGAAATATGAATTGGATTTAGATTGGGTTTAAAGTGATGTGTTAGAGAGGTGATGTGACTTAAATAAGATGATATAACTTAAATAGGATAGTGACTTTTTGAATTTTTTCAAACATGCCAAACTAACCCTAAATTACAGTACTATCCCTGTGCTGAAATTGGTGTATTTGGTTAAGCCAAGTAAAAAGGGAAAATTAATAAATGTAAGTAAATGGCCACATTGGGTGTTTTTGGTCTTTTCAAATCCTCCTCTCTGGTTATGACTGTAATTATAGAGAAAAACAAGGGCATTTAGCTAATGTCTCCTATATAAATACACTCTCACCCCACGCCTTCATCCTCCTTGGTAGTCATATTCTCTCTCCTCCTCCTCCTCCTCTCTCTCTCTCTCTCTCTCTCAACTGTTTTTGGATTTTTTTTTTTTTCTTCTCTCTCTGTCTCCCCTTTTGTGGCCGTGAATCAGTGGTGGCGCTACCACCAACCACCACCTCCAACCACCGTCTAGGGCCCAGATTTGGGTCACTGATCCAATTTTTATTCACTGTATCCCTATATCTGTATCTATCTCCACTCTCATCCCTTTCTGTTTTTTCCCCCAATAAAAATCATTTGCCAAACAAAATTTTCTAATTTACCCATTTTGCCCCTACCCGTTCTCATTTTCTGCCCTTGGCAAATACCCTCCGACGTCTTTTTCCCTTATTCCAAAAATATATTATAAAAAAGAGAAGAGAGAGAGACTATCATACTTTGTACATTTGGAAGTTCTGGTACAATTGATGGTTTGGGAGCTGACGTGGCATGCATCGAGCGAGGCATGAGTACGGCAACAACGATGATGAGCAATCAGCACCGTCGATTAGTAACGCCTGTTGTGGGCGTGGTGGGCCCTCCGTCAAATAAGCGCAAGGAGAGAGACGGTTTTAACGTTCCAAAACCGTCAGTTAAGAAGCCAGCTAGGCCCGCTATCCCCGGCTCGGAGTCGCTGGCTCCAAAAAAACCGCCTGAGCCGGATTCGAGTAATCAGCTCCTAGCCGGGTACTTAGCTCATGAGTTTCTCACCAAGGGTACTTTGTTTGGTCAGCAGTGGGATCCGGCTCGAGCCGAGGCAGTGGCTGTGTCAGCCGAGTCGAGGAGGATGAAGTCGGTGGCTAGTTGTAGCCAGAGAGAGAAAGGGAAAGCCGAGCCGCGGGTGGAGAAGTATGAGAGGTACGTAGAAGTAGCAGATCTACTGAAGACAGATGGGGCCCACTTGCCAGGCGTCGTCAACCCTAGCCAACTCGCTCGTTTCCTACAGATGTGATGCGTACTCTCGCACACGTGGAACAAGCTCATTGGTCTGTACTTGATCCTTTTTAAACAACACCACCAAATATTTTTCTTTTTCATTTTCAGTTTTGTTCTCCAAATCAAGGTGGTAAGTTGGTGCCTATGTGATTCTCTCTCTCTCTCTCTCTCTCTCTCTCTCATATATGTATTGGCTTTTTTGTGAATTAACGCTTTTTAGTTTGTCAAAAATGAAAACAAATTTGTATATTGCATGTTTTTTATTTGGGTTTCATGATAATAACCTGCAATGCAACCTCCATGTATTTATATGCATGCATGATTATATTGAAACTTGGTATACACATACCTACTTGAATCAAATTGAAATTTTCAATTTTGTTTGTTGAGGAATTGAAATCACAATTTTCAAAATTTTAAGGGTTTTAAAAATAATAAAAAAAATCTATAAAATCTCATATCTGAAAATATTGAAAAGATATGGATGGGATGCCTTACAAATGTTTCTCCTCCTAATCTTTATTATAAAATGTGTAGTATTGTCAATTTGTTAACCTGCTGTGTTTGGTTGGAGAATTTGAAGAGGGATTTAGAAAATGAAAGGAAAAAAAAAGTAAGTAAAATATAAATAAAATAACTTTATATTTCATCTAGTTTCACATATATTTTTTTTCTTTTTTTAAATTTCTCCCCAAATTTCCTAACCAAACACAGCTTAAGAATATTTTATATAAATGTGAATGTAATAAAAATTGTATAAACTTTTAAATTATTGAATTTGAAATCTAAGAAGACTTGTTTAAAACTTATTAAAAATATTTTAATCAATTCTATTGGTATGGAATGAAAAGTTTTAGAAATCAAATTTCACTAAACACTCACATGGTGTTTTGTTACCTTCCCCTTTGTGTTCCATGCATAAAAAATTGTCTCCTTTCTTTGATCTTGATTCTTACACGCGCATATATATATATATAATTTGAATGGGTTTATATATTTTTAAAGCTCGACACTAAACAACATGGTCAATTTTTAAAGTAAAAGACTCCACGTATGATTTGAGTTACACATTAATTTTTTTATACATATTTGTATAATTCTTTTTATATTTAAAATATGACTTTCATAAGAGAGACAGAGAGGGCTGATTATTTAATTTTTTTCTGACCGTGTCTAGCTTGTTTGGTAATTTGCTCAATGCCCATATTAATCAATTTAATTTTAATTAAATTCTCTTAACCATTTGAAGTCATGTACGGAGACTTTTTTTGAATTAGGTTAAAAGATACTTAACCGTTATATTTGGAATCAAGTGTAGTTGAATTGACCGAGTACTTGAATGATCGTACGTATGTATATATGTACAATTTTTTATTTCAACTGTATTTAGAAACTTAAAAATTTTAATTTATAGCTAAATAAGCCACTATATATTAATTAAGAATATATAATTTTTAAATTTTTTGTACTTGGAACAATCACCGATATATTTTATTTTAATTTAGGACGCTACATCTCATTTGTATCCTTCCATAGCTGAAAGAAAAAAACAAGTGCCCCACAGATAAAGAAAATGTCTTTCTAAAAGCCAAAAAAAAAAAAAATTGACTTTTTTTTTTAATTAAATATTTTAATAACAAAAAGTACTGTCACCTAGTTATGAACCCCCACCCAAAAAAAAATTATAAAAAGAGTTGCAAAATCAAATGTGGTAGATAAGAGCAACCACCCATGAGTTGCAAAATATGAATAATTTAGAAAAATCAAAAAACACTATTAGCCAATAAAACTGACTTAATTTTTTTTAGAATTTAAAATTATTTTTCAGAAGCAATTTTGCTAATCAAGTTTTCTGAAACATTTGTTTGGTTTGATTTTTTTAAAATTATTTTTAGACGGGTTTTCATTTGTCTTTTGTGATTTTTTTTCATGTTTTAGTTTTTATTTTTTTATGTATATATTTTTTAAATGCATCTAATTTAAATGTTTTTAAAAGGCTAAAAAAGAGACTAAAATATGAAAAAAAAAAAATTATTGAAAACAAAAGAAAAAAACCGTCAAAAAACACACAGAAGCTTTTGTTCGGGTTTTCTTATGTTTTTAACAAATTTTTTTTCCTTCATATTTTAGTATTCTTTTAGAAATTTTCATAAGCATATAAATTAGTTGCATATAAAAAATAAAATAAAAAGCTTACTAAAGACAAATAAAAACCTGTCTAAAATCAGTTTTTGAAAATTTAAATCAAACATTTTGCATTAATGAAAATGATACCACATACAGTATGCAATTTTTTGTAAAATAAAAACTTGTCTTTTGTTTTATGAAAACTGAAAACTAAAAAGTGACAGCAAAAATACTTATTTCTTGTTTTGTGGACAAGTTATTTATTTTATTAAAATGCTAAAACAAATGGCTGAGAAATGTGCTAACAAACAAAACATGCATTGCAGAATTATACATTTGGTTGAACACTTCTAGTATTGCTATCATCCAAGTAAAAAGTTGTCAAAGACAAACACAGAATAGTTGTCAAAGACGTACATGATCATCACCTCCCCTCCCCTACCCAAAATAAAAAATAAAATAAAATACAAAAGAGGAGAAGAAAGAAAACCTGTTTTCAAGCTGGTTTACATATCCTTAGTTGAAGCCTGTGCTCGAAGATTATCGCTGTAGATGCAATTACCTTCCTTATTCTCCTTCCTTAAAGCTGTTCGACGCATTTAAAGGATATATAATTATAAGATGGCTAGTAAAGAAGACGAGCAATAATAAGCTGAAAGGGGATTAGCATATATACCTAGGCTTGAGCTGAAACGGTGGAGACAAGGCTTCATCATTAATCCACGAAGGCTTTTTTGCATTATAGTAAAAATGTGCAATCATGAGAACCAACTCATCTGCTGTTCGAATCTCTGCGTATGGAGACCACTCTTACATAAACAGTACGGCAAGAACAACGCTATGTTCATTGATTTCCAAACAAATATTTATCCAAAAAAATTTTGAATTCCAAACAAAATGCCATGAATAATACCTTTCTCCCTGTATAAGATCTTGTTGCCCCGCAAAAACAAAATTTGTGGACAATCTCTAACTTTAAGCGCATAGGCTAAATCCCTCTCGATGTTGATGTCTATCTTAACGGTCTAGTTTGAGGAGACACAAGGTAGTCAGAAATGATATATAACTACAGGGCAAAACAGTGGAGTAAATTCAAAGGTCAACAAGTGTGCTTAAGTAGTAAACAATGAAATACAGAAAATTGAAAGAAAACATGTGAGAAGTTCACAGTACCCGAGGAGGCAATCGATCTTTGGCACCCAAGTAAACCTTGATTGCTTTCTCTAGTTCCTTCAAAACCTTCCAGTTATCAGTCGCCCTACATAGACAATATGGTGAGCAACATATGGTACTTGAATATAATAACCTCATTCTAATGTTGAAGCTTCTTTCCAGACACATTTAAACATTTCCATGTCTCAAAAAAAATAATTAATTAAAAGCACTTATTCAGATGCAAAAAATGAACACACACTCAGGACTTGGGAGTATAATCTAAAAGCATTTCAAGAACAACTGCCTACCAATTGACGGTGCCTAAAATTCCACTATAAAGACTGTAAAAAAATTGTAATAACCCGACCCTCATATATGCTTTACATCCCTAATTATATGAGTAATTACATGTCTAATGTGAAATTCTACGTGGAGTTGTGCTTTACATACATGAATTATTTAATTATGATATTATATCTGTTGGTTATTCGAGAAAATCTGTTAAATTAAGACGTTTGGATTTGAAATTGAAAGCCTTAGAAGCGCGATAATCCAAAATTGACCTTACATTCATGATTAGCATGATTTTTAGGACATAATATACATTTTCGCGAAAATCTGATCCATAATTTAGGCCCCATCAACTTAACTAATGAATCTTAGTAGAAATAAGGAATATATGTATGACTCTAGATGACTTAGTGGAGGCAACTCTAAATATCTCCTGATAGAGATTGAAGAAGAGAGAGAGAAAGAGAAGAGATCAAACAAGATTTGGGGATTGAAGAACTTGCTAGGGGGATTTGAAGAATACAACCTAAAGTGAATATAGATCATACTAGTAAACTCTCAATTCCTCTTCAATTAGTTTGAATTAAGCTTTGAAATGAAGCATCATCCATGAAAACTAGGGTTATTATTGTGAATAATTAAGTTGCATGAATGATCATGTATCTCTTGGATGTGTGTGACGGAAAACTTGATCCCTCTATGTTATGTTTAATTTGCTTTGGATTGAGAGAAATTGTGCCTAATCTTGCCCTTTTGCATGCTTGAACCATGTGAAAATGAATACATACGTATATGTATATATAAATATATACCTATATAATGAAAATAAGGGAATCATGGAAATTGGAGGTGTAAAGGCTCAAATAAAACAAGTCTTGGTCTTAATGAGCTAGAATTTCATGTTTATGTGTTTATATGATATGTTTTCAAGGTAATTTTTACTTGATTTTGGCTATGTAACTATCCCTTGTAAGCTTTGAATTGTTGAAGTTTCGGACAGAAAAACAGGGCCAGGACCACACGTGCGGGGCTCATAGCCGCACTTGCGGAAAATAGGGGTAAGAGACTGATCTACACTGCAACAAAAGCACGTGCGGCACACCTGCCCGCACGTGCGGTTAAAGCTGAAAAATTCTGTTCATTTCTTTCGCTCTGTTTGACCCTCAGAATGTGTTAATATGTCCATTTGATGTTTCTATAATGCATTTAATTACATAGAACTTAGCGAATCGAACATTTGAGAAACAAGAGGAAACGAAGGAAAGTGATGAACTTACGAATTGTGTGCTATGTGTAGGGCACATATAGGAGGGGACCATCGTTCATCCGCATCATAGAGAGTGATAGTAGTGTAATGACATATTTCATTTACGTATTGTATTCATATGTGTTATTCGATACCTTATTCACTGTTTCAGTAAATAACTTATGTTATATGAGTTATATTTGATAGAACAGTTGGAATAATTGAACATTGGCATATGAGAAATGGACCCGAGGTCATTTTGTTTTGCTATTGTATCGGACCCAAGGCCGTTTTGTATTCCATTGGGCCTAAGGCCGTTTTGCCATTGTATCGGGCCCAAGGCCGTTTTGTATTCTGTTGGGCCTAAGGCCGTTTTGCTCTTATTTTGGGCCCAAGGCCGTTTTGTATTCCGTTGGGCCTAAGGCTGTTTTGCTATTATAATGGACTTAAAGCCATTATGTATTACGTTGGGCTTAAGGCCGTTCTGCCTTGTATGGGCCCGAGGTCGTTCAGAAAAGAAAATAAGAATAAGATCAACTTGTGATTTATGAAAATGCACTGCTAAATTATGCTTGTACTCTTAATATGTTGTATTGCTATCATTCACTGAGTTTTGCTCACTCCATTTTTATGAATATTTTGTAGGTAATCAGCCCGCGGGACATCTTTAGGTCAGCCCAGGAGCCTTTTGCTGGACCCGTTTTGCTGAGTCACCCGAAGTGACTCTTTTGTTTTACTTTTGGGAAATCCATGATGGCATGTTCGTCGGTATTTGGGGAGATAGATATATGTATATAGTGTCAATACTTAACTCTTGGGTTGTTACCCTTTTTCAAATTCAGTGAATGTGAATGGTGTATGGTATGTTATGTACTTATGTATGGTAACGCATTAAGATCCTGGCATGTAGACACAGCTCAATGGATGTTTTGTTCTGCTATTATTTTTGCTTCCGTTCAGAGGCCCCAATATTGAGTAAAACTTAAGATGATAAGGTTGAGGCCTGATGTCAGGCCGGTCATGTCCAAACTTTTAGGGGCAGGTTTGGGTCGTGACAAAAGATTATATTCAAGCACCCAATTTCAATAGTTTAAATGAGTAATTGTTTATTATTGATGCACAAATATACACAGATATATGTATATGTCCACAAACAAAGAGCATACACCAGTCCCAAGTCCCATGTGCATATTGCAAATATTAGTTTACATAATTTTATTCAATTTTCCACTTGCATGTAATGAATGCATGTTGTAAAGGTAAATGAAAAAAACTGTCGTAAACATGTCTCTTTAATTCCAATTTCAAAGATAACGTGTGCTTCAATGATTCTTGACACAGAAAAGCAATAACATAGATAATTAACAATAGACTTACCTGTTATATCTTTCGAAAACAAGAACAATTAGTGGGCTAGGATGGAAGGCAAAGCTCTCCCACTCCAGACAATTTATCTCCTTAACCCAATTATCATCCATCTCTCCCTCCCAATCAATCTCAACACCATCTTCCCCAACGACGTTCTTGATTGGGTGCTGCTCAAAGTACTCTGATGCTCTAATTCCCCAGCCTACATCAGCATCTAGTGGCCAATTTGGACTCTCCTCCTCAACCACTGTCTTCTTTCTTCCGTTACCACTTTCATCCGCCACCTCCTCCTCCTCCTCCTCGTCATCGTCACTGCTGCCATCAGAATCATTCTCATCGTTAACTCTGTCCTTCATAATATTATCCTTATTCTCCAAAATTTCCGAATTCTGCTCTCTGATTGATCTAAATGTCTGTTCAAGTGAATCACGCACAAAATCTTCAACTGCAGCTGCTTCACTTCTGCGACCACGCCGGGGCTTTTTTGGGATTGTAGTGGGAAATATCCCACCAGGATTTTCATTTTCATTTTGGGGAACTTTGGTTTTCTGGCGTCGAGTTCTTGTTTTAGGTTTGGAATTAAGGTTTGGGCAAGGATCAGATTCAGAGCTCGAATCAGAATTCTTTGCATTGGCAAAACAAGTTAGAGGTTTTAGAGAGCAATTGAGATTCATATGAGAGGAGAAAAGAAATTTCAAACATCGATTAGGTCTAGGAATGGGGTCAAGGATTTGGTTGTAGGTAAAGGATGGTGACAAAGAGAGAAAATCAAGTTTATGGTTCACTGCAGAAAGAAACATCTTTTCCCTTGACTAGCTTGAAAAAACATAAACCTTTATGCCATCTCTAGAGAAAATACAGATTTAAATGCAAGGAGCGGCTCAAAGTCAAGCATTAGAAACCCGTTGGTACAGAGAAAGCAGTTTTCCACTCCTGAATCCTGATACAGATTGGTGAAAATTAAATTTCCAAAGGGATAGCTCAATATACGCTTGTTAAATAGGCAATTAACACAATTAAAATTCTTTTTGAGGCCAATAATCAACACTTCTAGCAATTGCACAGGTTTCTGGCATCGTAAACATAAACTTGATGTTAGGAGAAAAAGTGTGGATCTGGCAGAAACATGTTTTCGCAAAGCACTCTCGTTCTTGATGCACAATTGCACACTATAATAACCAATGACATTTAATAAGCGACAAAATTGTACAGCGACTAACTGCAGCAAAACTTGTAAGAAAAGATGGGCTATCCACTCCTCTTATTTGACAACAAAAAAAAAAAAAAACAACAACAACATTTATAACGTGAGTAATAGGGGCAGGTAACTACTAATTTTATCTCCTTTATCTCTAATGGAGAGATGTTGCAATAAAAAACAGGTAACTACTAATTTTATCTCCTTTATCTCTAATGGAGAGATGTTGCAATAAAAAAAATATTTCTCTCCATTTGTCTCCAACTAGCTATCCAAACAGGTGATTTGGGAAGAGAGAGACACCCTTTTATTTTCTTCTCTCCAAATAACCCAATCCAAATGGACTGTAAGTGATGTCATACACCATAATATAGTAGTTGCAACCAAAAAAACGACACATAGGCATGCCCAAAGTCCGCAAACAAACGTCGTATGTTAACAATCTATAACTTTGAATCATGCTATCTATATATATACACATAAAAAATGAAAACCCAATTAATAATCTTTAGCTTTGGGCATTATATTGAACCACAAAGAATCAACGGTTGCGAAGAGTAAATCACAGTTTCGTTTTTCAACTTAATAGTACTAGCACTTTAATGCTAGCAAAGTCACTCAAATTTTCTTTTTTTTGAAAAATGAAACAAAACAAATGAACTAATGAACATGTTTAGTTGTCCTCAGCCAACTGGTAATAGACATAAGCATAAAAGTTGAGTTGATTTGGAAGTGGCAAAGAATCGAACATGTGATGTGCGTGCTTGCGCATGAGCAAAACCCTCGTTAACCCACATAATAGTAGTCTAATTACACCGTTAGAGATAGAGAGAGGGTTTACCTGTAGTGTTGGGTTGTAGAAGCTTGGTTGCGCCGCTTGTGACTGCGAGGAAAGTTTCCTTCTTTGGCTTCTTTTTATTTTTATTTTTTGGTAAAACGGCTTCTTTTTAACTCTACTGGGTAGAGAGAGAGGGAAAAGAATGGACTTGTGCTTGGTTAGTGCTGAAGGTGCAAAGGAAAAGAAACCACTATTATTTATGTGGCGAAACTCGAAAGAAAATAAGGAAAAAAATGTTTCTGCTTGGTAGATTTTAAAAGCTGTCTTTTTAAAAAATTTTGACTAATTTAAAATATAATATTGTATTTGGTAAAATTGAAATTATCAGATTATAACTTATTTAAAAATATTTTAACTTATATTTCAAAGTTGCTCAGGGATGCTTAATTGAACAGCTTAAGCGCACAGTTGATTGGGGGAGGCTGAAATGACTTAAATGTCCCTCCAAAACTTCAACAATTACGGAATTGCCACTATATAAACCCTCTTCTATGTTGCCCTAGCACGCTCCTCTCCTCTCACACTCTCCTCTCCTCTTCTCATTTCCTCTTTGGCAACCGACGATGATCCTCCATATCCTCCAACATCAGCCGATCGAACTCCTCCACATCTCCAACATCAGCCTATTGAACTCCTTTACTCCCTATTTTCCGTTGATCTGCACCAAAAATGTAAGATTTCATGCCCTTTGTTTGTTATATATATATATACACAATGAGTTAGGTTTTTTTTTTTGGTTGCTCTGTGTGTGCGAGTTGTTATTGACCTCTCTCTTCTCCCTCTCTCTCTCTCTCTCTCCCTTTCCCTTTTGTAGCTCGACTTTTCGTGCTCCCTTTCGGAAGACAAATAAGCCTTACAGCATCGAACTCCCGCAGTTCTGAATCTAATCTCACAAGTGTAATGTGAAATAGATAATCACCAAAGAGTCCAAATTCGACAAATCTTTTGGAAAATCGATTTTGAATCAAATTGCTAAAAATGGACTACTTTGCCAGATACAGAGTCGCCACCTAAATATTTTTTGGAAAAATTTAGGAAACCCATGATTCATGCCAAAGGCCACGTGTCCGTCATCACCAAAATTGTTTCGGCTCGAGAACTTAGGTACGAGAGGGGAATGTCATGAATTGAGCACCCTCGTTCGTCCGATCAAAGATCGGCCTCTACTAATCATGATATGAATCTTATTTACATTATATGCTCTTGTTTCGGTTTATTTAGGCTAGCATTACTATGTGATGCACACATACACATGTACTAAATTGCAAAAATTGAAATACTTGATTTCATGTTTGTTTTGAAATTTGTTTCGAATATGTACCACTTGAAAAAGTGATCGCATATGAACATTACTCAAATTATTCCAATTCAAGCAACTAGTCTTCATCCACAGGCATTCAAGCAGTTTATCATTTAAGCGCTTAGCCTTATGGCAAGCATGCTTTGACATGGTAACACTAACATACAATGCAATATGCTAAAGCAAATAAAAGCTCACCTAGTACTCCAAGCCAAAAAATATGAAAGAGTTAGAACAATGCATGATCCTAACTATGCAATATGACTAATGCAATACATGCGATATGCAATGACTAGGCTCGGCTACTAATACGACATATGAGGCAATTTGATAGCATGCGGTCTAAGCACGTATTCAAAGAAGTATTTAAACTAACAATGCAAGTTAGAATGATGAATCGAGCCTCGGTGCAGGCAAAACAAGTGGGTGCAAACATGGAGAACGCTAATCAAAACATGATGTTCTAATTTAACCATCGTAAACAGTTAAATAAAAAGGAAAAAGACGTGGGGTTGGAAGACATATACATTATTACAATGTTGCACCCTCACACAGGAGGGTTCGAATGAATAAACTAGCTAACTAATTAAAGCTAAGCTAATTAAGTAATTATTACAAACTCAAATGAATAATTTAGCTAAACTACTTAATTAATTATTACAAGACAAAATTAGCTAACTAAGTGAACTAATTAATGAATACAACATGAAAAGAGTGCTAAGCTAGCTATTCTAGTTACTTCGCCTCGGGAAACGAGGAATGCTTATGCATGCACGGACTTTCTACCCCCAAAAAATAACTATTTCTACTGCCAGATGCATTTGTTGCATAGTAGAACACTTGCACTGATTTCCACTTCAGAACTTGTTCTGTTCTGCTTCAAAAGTACACTGTTAGATTTTGCATAGGTGGCCGGCAGAAGGGGCCTGTCGGCCACTGATGACTGGATTGTCCTACTGTAACAGAAAATAAACAGAACAGGGACAGGGTATTTTCAAGGGTTTGTTTGCACAATTTACCCCTCCTTATCATTTGAACAGCTCAAAGGAGTAGTAAGTTTGATTTACAAACCACCAATGAATGCAACTTCATTGCATGATGGCTTATGAACCAAGTGTGCAATTTTAATGAATGCAACAAAATAAGACTCTCAAAACCACCTCCCTATCTTGAATGATCAAGGGGAGTAGTTGACAATGAATCTTAAACCGTTTTCATCACTAATGAGTATGAAATGACTTAAGACTCAAAGGGTTCAATTAATGTTCGATTGAACCCGAACTAAATTATTATCTTGCTCTTTTTCATTCACCAATTTTATTATTCCATTTTAATTACCTCTCAATTCTTTAATCAATTAAGTCCACAAGTGAATTTAAATCCTCTAATGGAAAGAGGGCTCAAACCAAGTGTTGCTTTGGGCATGAAGAGACATCACACTGTTGGTAATGAACCCCTAAAGGGATTAAACCATTAAGCATGACACTCTAATCTCATGCTTAAACAAACAAATAATTTGAAACTACTTTCAAAGCAAAGAAAAAGTCAAGAAATGAGGGAGGTTGCAGAGGTGATTAAAGGTGAGAACAAGTAAGAAAAGTACCAAATAAATGCGATCAACTCAAATAAGGTGGTGTCTAAAGCCTAAAACACCAAACTCATGAGGACCATTACATTACAAGTATGTAATATAAGGCTCAAATGCAATGAACATTTAAAAATAGTCCTAAAACAGTGCTAAATAAGTCCTAAAACATGCTAGAATTAAGACAAAAATAGCTAGAATAATAGGCTAAAACATAGAATATGCTAGGCTAGTAAGCAAAACACAAGGAGGGGAGGCTAAACCCCCTAATTTTGGATTTCAAAACATGATTTTAGCCATTGAAATAACTTTGAAAATTAGTGTTTAAAAGCTCAAAAAAAAAAGTTAGTGTAATGGTGGGAAACACAAGGGTAATGGCCTTGAAAGCAAGGTGTGAAGAAGGGTGAACCACCCCTCAACCTTTATTGGCCTTAAAACCTAAGTTTCAGCCCAAAAATATAGAGTTTTTACAGCCCAAAAACAGTGGAAAAACAGTAAGAAAAATAGTGATTAAAGCAAGTAGAGAAGCAAAGCTTTATACCTCTTAAAGAGAAGAACCATTCTAGGCAACAAATCAAGGAAAACACACCCTCAAGAGCTCAAAGAAGGCTCACAGATACCTTAACTTGAAGATGGAGAGGTTTGGTTAAGGGTGTATAGGCAAAGGTGAAGAGTGTATAGGCAAAGGTGAAGAAATTTGCAAGAGAAAGAGAGAATTGTAGAGAGAGAGGAAAAATTTTGCTCCAAAATTTTTCTAACCTCCAGAGTAAGAGGGGAGGTCCTTTATATATAAAGAAACATGAACCTCCCTCAGAAACATCTATCCATACACGTAGACGTAGATGCATGCATCTGTGCAGATAGTTGGCAGAAAATATCTACAAAACACATTGGTGGCCGGTAGGCCACATTAGTGGTTGGCAACTAGAAACAATGGTCGACAGGCAATAAAAGGGGCCGACAGGCCACAAAAGGTTGCAAGCTTGAAAATCTCTGGTTTTGGTCCAAAAATAAGACAACAGGGGTGTAAGATTTGAAGGCTCAAAGTTGTGGCATTCCGCTGAGGACTTCGAGCACTTATTAAGCATATGCACTCATCATTGGGTGTACAAGCAGTGATGTCCAAGTCATAAGGACGGTCAAAAATGGGATGCCTACAGTTGCTCCTCTTTGACAGAACTCGGAGTCATGAAATGACGTGAGTGAATGTCAAACTCGAAGATGACCCATTTTGACAAGGTCGTAAGACTTGGACAAACAATCAAGACATAAATAAAATGATTGCACCAGCTGGCTGCCTACGTATCTCTTTGCAAGGAATCAAACTAACGTAGTTCTGGGGTAAGATGCAAATGATATACATGAAGAAAATTTTGAAAGCAGGACTCACACGATTTGCGAAGCCGACTATTCTGAAAACTCATGAGCATGCACGATGATGCAATAAGCAATAACAGAGGCAATAAGCAATAACAAGATAACAACACATGAATGAGCAGTTTCAAGCTTAAAACCAACACAGGTTCTCTGCAAAAAGATCTAAAACACACTTTGACCACGCCAAAACACGAGACGAGGAAAGAAAACACATCTCAGGGTTGTGCCTCGTGCTTCTTGAGAAACTGAGAAACCACTCAGGCTCGCGCTTCACGCATCCCGAGATAAAACACGCCCAAGGTCGCGCTTCACACGTCTTGAGAAACAAGAGAAATTGCTCGGGCTCGTGCTTTACGCGTCTCGAGATAAAACATGCCCAGGGTCACGCTTCACGTGTCCTGAGAAACAAGAAAATCGCTTGGGCTCGCGTTTCACGCATCCCGAGATAAATACGCCCAGGACTACGTTTCACGCGTCCTGAGATATAAGAAAACCGCTCGGGCTCGCGCTTCATGCATATCGAGATAAAACACGCCCAAGGTTGCCCTTCATGCGTCCTGAGATATAAGAAAAACAATTTGGGGCCACGCTTCATGTGCCTCAAGATAAAAGCAAAACCGCTCAGGGTCGCGCTTCATACGTCTTGAGATAAAAAAGAAACCACTCGGGCTCGCACTTCACGTGTCCCGAGATAAAACACGCCTAGAGCCGCGCTTCACGCGTCTTGAGATAAATAACAAAAGATGCAAAGAGGAATGAACAAGTGCGATAGGTGCACAAAGTGAACAAGTCAATACAGCGACACTGCATTTTCCATGTAAGATAGACAACTGACGTGTGATGTTAATTGAAAGCATGCTCTATGCAAGAAACAAGAGCATTTCTATGCAAAACTAAGAGCATATTCTATGCAAA